ACTGGAGACCCCCAAAGACAGATATTCTATCAAGAGCCAGTAGGAACCAGGAAGGTTCCTACTGAAGGTTCATTTAAAACTCAAGTCGAAGATGACTTGAGGAATCTAGGGGTCAGAAATTGGAAAGCCAGGGCGAAAGATTTTTTTCCCGTGGAATTTATGGCTTTGGCGAGAACCAATTAGCCAGACTATGTTACATTGAATCATTAGTTTGTGTCAAATTGTGTGAATTAAGTTTCATAATATACAAAATAAATAAGGTGTTTAATTTTTTTTGCGCTAGAGCGTCAATCCGGTTCATCCCCTCGGAGGTTTCAGCCCTATTTTTTTTTTCTTTCGCAGAATTGCTTACAAAATTGGTTAGTAATTTTACAGTTTTAGTTTACAGTTTATGATGTGTTGATGGAGTACATAAAGGATATCATTATTTCCTGAAAAAATAATACAATTTAGGTCTATTGGAAGGTTTATCTTGTAGTAAATTAAGTTTTTATATAGTTTATTAATGTTTATTATTTTTTGGACAAGGCATCTACTATTTCATTACCTGTTATACCTGCGTGTCCCTTTACCCATAGATATATGACGATTTTATTCTTGATGTGTATCTCATTATGTAAATACAGGATATTTGCTTCAATATGATTAACTGATCTATTTATGTTTACTTTTTTAAGTTTATCTACTGCACTTTTGCTGTCCGTACATATTATGAATTTGTCGTGGATGGACCCGAGTATGTATTTCATAGCTTGCACTATTGCTGTTAATTCTGCAGTGTATATGGAAGCTTCCTTTGGTAGGATAAATTGTTTGTCAGTATTTTCTTCCAAATGGTAAAAGGCACAGCTGGTATATTCTTTTGACTTTGATCCATCAGTGAATATAGAATCATAGTTTGGCCAGTATTTGTTTTTTGTTTCGTTAAACTTTGTTTGATTGATACTTGCTACTTCTTGACTTTCAAAATAGTAGCTTCTAATTTCACGTGAAAAAATTTGTTCAGGCGAGTAATTTAGAACCGGGGGGTGTTGGTTGGAATAAAGTATATCTGTAATGTCAGGTATTTCTGAGAAAGTTTCTACTATGAGGGGGGTTTTCTTGAAGTGCCAGTATCTATGGGTCAAAACTTGAACTGTTAGTGATTGTATACTATTGAGGTAAGAAGTTTTTTTGGATATTGTTTTTATCATAAATTTTCTGCTCAATAGTTGTCTCTTAGTTTAAGAGGAGGTTCCACGGCTTCAGCTTGTATAATATTTATGGGTGAGGGCGAAAGATAGAGGTGACTAATTCTTGAACAGGCCAAGACCCACTCAGTGTTGTAGAGCCAAAGATGATGATGATATTGCAAAATGATAATTTAGTTAACTGCTTAATAGAAAATTACAAAAATATTACTTATTTCAATACAAATATAATTAGTAGGTAAATAATATTTGTAAGCCATTTTCCCTATTCGGATAGTGAAAAAATAAAAGCACTCGACAATATTGTATTGCGATTTTGCCCGGTGCACCCGTCACTGTAAAAAATCAACTTTTCTCCAGGCTGAATGGACGACAATTGAGTAGCTGCAAATTATAGTTGCAAATTCATTTGCCCCAACACCCCCCTCAACTTCTTTTCACACAAAGCAGTATCCTCTACCGGTCTTAATATCATAAAGAGTAAAATTATGGACGGCTAATTTGGTTTTATAATATAAAGCTGAGACGTTGGAATTTGGACAAAGAATAACAGCTTGTAGATCCATAGTACACTTTGTTGCTGGCACAAATTTTGCCATTTGACTTCTTTTCTCTGACTTCTTCTTTTGTTAATGTATGCAATTCATACTCGGCTTCTGTACCATTACCTACTCCTTCACTACTACTACTACTACTAAGGATTTCCACAGTTTTCACTATCATCCTTCACTCAACCGTTTTATCCAATTTTCCCTGTCATTCCAGTCTCCACCTCGCAGGGTTCTTTTCTCCATAGCCTCGTCGATTTCGTCTCTGAATGACCTTCGGAGTCTTCCTTCCTTTCTTCTTCCGATTGGGCTCCATTCTGTGATTTTCTTCTGACGTGGCCGTACCAGGATAGTCTCTTCTCCTCTATATAGTCGATTATGTCTGATTGCACTCCCATTCTGCGCTTAATCTCTGCGTTTTAAATTCTGTCTCTTTTTGTAAGTCTACAGCTTCTCCTCAGGAACTCCATTTCTACTGCTCTTATTCTACCTCTATTTCTTTTGTTTATTGTCCAGTTTTCGGACCCATATGTCAGGATACTTCTTGTCAGGGTATTATATATTCTCTTTTTTGTCTTTACCTACTCTTTTAGCCACACATAAATCACACTCATCTTTTTTTCTCTTAAATAAACTCAAATTCATATCCTTAAAATAATTGCTAAAATATGCAATTGAAAATGCCTCCACATCATTACACTAGTCCTTAAAGGACACTAGTCCTTACATAACACTAGTCCTTAAAGTTCATAAAGTTTTTGTTTTAACTGCCATTGTGGTTCAAGATATAATTTTTGAGATGTAGATCGGCAATAATGGGATTCTATTTTTGGCAAACTTTAAAAAAATAACTTTAAAGAATTTATTATTTTCGAATCTAATCGTTTCCTTTTGCTAACCTTTGATTGAGCTTTTACGGCTGCAGGACCATCTTCATCAACAGTCACATGCACACTTGTTGGCGTTCTGACGTTCTTGTGGTTTTACAATTTTCCAAGAGCGTATGGTTCATTCTCCTATGCTTGTGTGTTAAGGAACATTTTTTTGCACACTTTAATTTGATCGTTTTATTTTCTTAAATATTAAGTAAAACTATTACTTCTTCTAGATTTGTTTTTATCTTTTCAGTCTAGTTTTCTTTTGGGTGTTTTAGATTTTACGTTTAGATCTACAAAAAAATTTTTTTCATCCCAGCTCATTTTCCAAAAATTCGTGAAATCCAACTTTCTGTCTTCATCCGATAGTAGATGGCATTGCATCCCAGATAGGTTGCTTTGATTTATGGCTGATTTCTTACAAGAACACTTTTGTTTTAATATTCTTTGTCTTTTTGGAATGTTATAGTCCCATTTTCCAGTAGTACACTTTATACCTTTGTAAGCAATACCTAGCCCTCTGTTTTTCCTATTTTGCTCTCTTTTCCAAACTTCTATTTTAACATGCTCTTTTTTCTGCACTTTCTTAAGTTTCTTCTTTTTCAAAAATCTCGTTCCATAGTTTTTAGACGAGTGCACTTTGAATCTTCATTTTTGTTCCACCATTTTTTTCAAAATTTGTTTCTGGTTCTTCCTCAGATATATTTTCTACAAACGAATTGATTAAGATAGGAGGCTTTGACAACTCCAATTCTCTGGCGACAATTTTCTCTACTCGGGACATCTAAAAAGACAAAAAATCTCACTTAGAATTTGGTGGCGGTTTTCTTACAAAAATTAATATTACCAAAGTAAAAAATAAATACACGAGAAGTATAAACTGGTTGAGTTTGATCCTACTTACTCTATGCAGAATAGAAATGGTTTTTAGATTAAAATGCACGTTATAATTAATTATATTATTTTATAATACACGTTCATACGTAAAAAGACAAACATACAACAGATCCCACGTGTTATTGTCAGGAAGTCAAAAGGTGATACGGAGTTACAAGGTTTTTTTTTTTTCGCTTATATTTAATTTCTACATTTAGATGGAGTTACAGAATTTGGTCAGAAGACATAAATTAATTTACAAACCGAGGGCGCATATATTCACAAATTGAGTAAAAACGGAGTTACGAGTTTTGCTAATTAGGGTGACGATATGTTGTTTACTTCTAAGATAGCTGTGAAATTCAGATCAAATTTTAAATTGATTTTAAAATATAAATAAATATCAATTGATAGTAAATTTAATTACTATGTAAATTAAATAATATGTTTAAAAGTAATAATTGTTTTTATATACAGTTATTTAAAAAGAGAAATATAAAAATTTAAACAGAGGATTCAATGTTATTAATTGTATGACATTTATGACTATACATTTTGGCAATCGTTACGAATCGAATCTTTTACTGACATATTCTTTTAATTTTTTACTTCTCATTTAATGTCTACATATTATTTGGTATATCTTATGTAGTTTTTAATTTAAACGTGCTTAGAGTAAATATATGACTAGAAACCAATTGATAGAGAGTAGTGAATCGATGTAAAGAACCATTATTCTATGACGCTACCCGGAACGACGCTATCTTATGGCGCTAGTTCTGTGATACTAGCCTCAGTATTTTACTGTAGGTAGAGAAAAAAGTATTACAACTCCAATATAGAAGTTTCGCTTCCAAACGTTTATTTTGACATTTAGAATCCATTTCGAAACTCGTTTCCAAAATACATTTTCGATTTAAAATTTCAGAGAACGAAATTGATGTGGCAATTGAAACTGCAAAATAAACGTTTTTTTTAAACTGAAATTGTTAATACCCAATAAAAATAGTAAATATATTAAAATACTACAAGAAAATAGCTTTCGAACAATATTATAGTTTGGGAATAAATGTATTTTCTAGTTTTATTTGAACAGGAAGTAAACATTTCCGGTACGATTTCATAATGACTTTATTGGATTATTAAATGCTGAATCCGAACCGTCATTAGTTTTTCTGTGATTGTTACCGTTTTGGCTGCACTAATCTGCAGACAACAGTCAGCCGGACCGTACAAAACAAAACGATCTCTTTTTGCTTAATTGTTATTTGGACTCACTGTTTATATATTTTAATATAAAGGTCGGGTGTGAAGATATTTCAATAACTTTAAAAATCTTGAGTATTAAAAATGAATTATTACTGACACTTGCTGAAATAACTGACTTCTTGGCCATTTGACACATTTTAGATGTTACACTTAAATTCGTTAAATACAAAACTGTAAGCGCTAAATCATGGAGCTGATCTGACTTCCCTTTCTTCTTTATCAAATGTTTATTTCTATTCTAGGCCAGATCCTCAAGCAACCCTCACCTGAACAACGACGATGACAAACCTTGGGCCGTCAATGCAAGTGCGAACGGTAAAGAAAACGACTTTAATCATGTGAACAACATACCGCACTCAGCTGAAAATGAATTAAAAAATATATTGAGTCCCGAAAAACCTGTTAATTTATTACCGCAGGTGCCGGTAAATAGCAGTAGCTTTAGAAAATTATCCGAACACGAAGAGCACGATTGTGAAATTATTGGTAAGTGATCAATGTATCAAACAACACATAGTTTTAAAGCTGTCCTCTTGCGTGTTTCAGTGAATATTTTATATAAGAGAATAAATCGCAATAAATTTTAATATTACATGTTTTTGACGTCTCGATTTCCAATCCGTTTTCAAGAAATTTCCGTAATAAAAATTGCGATATAATTTACATTCACCGGCAAAATTAACGGAACACCTTAAAATTGGGACATGTTAGATGTCTCGAATTTCCTAAACCTGTTGTCCGATTTTAGTGATTTTTTAGTATGTTATAGGTATATTATTTAAGAATATCGATGTAATAATATTCTTGCTAGACAAGTCAATGTCATTTTATACCGGGTGTAACAATCCTACTGTGTTTTTTCCTTAAAGTTCGGAACACCCTGTGGAATATTCTAGCATATATAAAATATTGAAATTAAAACTTAATTATAGCCTCAGGCTTTCTTAACATTTTTTCTTTTTTGATTCATTTGCTTATGTTTGATAATAAAAAAGTTAGGTACGTTAACAACTAGCCATGTTTTTCATCAATAAATCCTCATTTTCTGCTTAGTTTAATAAACAAGCCTAAAGTAGGCTATGAGAAGTTAACAATTTAATACACACACCGGCAAATTTAAAGGAACCTGTTATTAATGCAATATTTCTTTATATTTGTATTTTATAGACTAAATTTGTTTATTTGTATTGTGTTTTACATTTTACAGTCATTCTGTTTGTTCATAACAAGTACACACTTGTATTTAATTGAGCGCATAGTAAGAAAGAGACTTAAAAAAGCCGGCCTCAAGTCATATGTGCCAATAAAAGCTCCCAGACTCCAGAGACACCATCGTTTAGCACGACTACAATTTGGTCGAGTACATCAAAATTGGAATGATAACCACTGGAGTCAAATTCTCTTTACGGACGAGAGCCGTTTCTGTGTAAATTACATCAACGGTAGAGAAAGATTGTATCAACGCCAAGGAGAACGAAATGCCCCTTTCAATTTTACTACGACCGTACCTTTTGGTGGAGGTTCAATTATGGTGTGGGGCGGTATATGTTTGGGAGCAATAACAGAGTTAGTGGTGATTGATGATGGAGCATTAACAGCAGATAAGTATATCAGAGATATTCTCCAAGACCATGTGGTACCTTTTTCACCATATATTGGCGAAAATTTTATTTTAATGCAGGATAATGCGAGCCCACACGTCGCAGACTGTGTAAGATATTTCTTATTACAAGTGGGTATAACAATGATGAATTGGCCAGCTTGTTCCCCAGACCTAAACCCGATAGAGGATATGTGGGACATGCTAGGCAGAAAACTTAGGGCACGGGTTCCTGCTATTTAAAACAGAGAGGAAGTCACAATTGCTTTGATTGAGGAATGGGAGAGACTGCCCAACAACTGATCGATAGCGGTATCAGAAGTATGAGAAGACGAATAACTGCAGTTGTAAGGGCTCGTAGGGGAAACACACGCTATTAAAGCCAAAAAAATGCATAAAAAACCAATTTAAGTTCAAACTGTACAATAAAGTTAATGCGTTTAAAATCCGTATTTTATTGAGTCTGACATCTTTGTGTTTTATATCTTCTTAAACAGGTTTTATATTATACTACCATTTTATTTTATAGTATACTACCATTGTAATATAAATTCAAAATACTTCACCAACATTCGTATTATGATATTATCTAAACAGTATATAGACTAGAGAGAAAATACCCAGATTTTATGGTTGTTCCTTTAAATATGCTGGTAAAACTAAGAAGAAAATGAGCATTTATTGATGAAAAACATGGCTAGTTGTTAACGTACCTAACTTTTTTATTATCCAACACAAGCAAATGAATCAAAAAAGAAAATGTTAAGAAAGCCTGAGACTATAATTGAGCTTTAATTTCAATATTTTATATATGCTAGAATATTCCACAGGGTGTTTCGAACTTTAAGGAAAAAACACAGTATGATTGTTACACCCGGTATAAAATGACATTGACCTGTCTAGCAACAATATTATTTCATAGATATTCTTAAATAATATACCTATAACATACTAAAAAAACCACTAAAATCGGACAACAGGTTTAGGAAATTCGAGTCATCTAACATGTCCCATTTTTAAGGTGTTCCGTTAATTTTGTCGGTGAGTGTATATATGCTGTAAATTTCTTGACAGTTGAGATTAGCCTCGGGCTTGGAGACATAACCGTTGTATAGAAATATACACTTCTAGGGGTGAAAATCTTGAAATGTATGTACCTTCGATGTATATCCAATTATTTTTTTAAGCTATTGTCTCATTAGTGTTGGTATATTCTGACTAATAAATTCTTTTTTGTATCGGAAACCAGATCTTGCTGCATTCTATTTATGAGTTTGCTTCATAATAAGATGAGAGCTACTTCATTAATTTTTTTTTCTTTTTCGTATCTTTTTATTTTATAACGATTCAAACGTCTTTCCATTGGACTTTATATTGATTATCTCAAGCATGTTTGCATTTCTAGCATGCTTGAGATCTAAAAAATTGTCTGTTTTTACTATATTTTTTGCTTTTGAACAAAAATTGTTTCAAAATAAGTCGTTTTTTGACCTCCAGTTGTTTATTAATTGGCTCTTTGTTGAAGTGAATAGTTCTTATCTACTTAAATTAAATACATTAAAATGAAATGAAATAAAATAAAATAATAATATAAAATTAAATTAAATAGAATCGAATCGAATAAAGTAAAATTAAATAAAGTTAAATAAAATAAAATACAATTGATATTTTAAAAAATAATAACAAATAACGGGCTATAAGAAGTATTCACTTTTGTCGGCACTCCCCAAGTACCGCGCGCCGTTCTTTTAACCATTTTGTCAGGTGACTTACTTGGCATCGATCTTGTAGGAAAATAGTCATAAGGTAAGATGGGGCAAGTGCGAACGAAAAAATTCATAGTTAATATTCATTTAACTACAAAAATTGCCTCTTTTAAATTAAGATTTTTTTAAACTTCTGTCGTATAATTGTGATTATTAACCGACCAATTAAAACTACTTAGATAACAAAAATACATTACCTACCAAATTTGCCTATACATTTTTTTTCGCAAGTACATGTTACGCACTTGCCCCACTGATCCGGGGTAAGAGCAGAATGTGCCATTATTTTTGCTAATAATAATAAGCGTTCCATATGGGGCTAGTGCAGAAATCCTAACATATATGTAATTTTTATTCTTTATGCTTAACTTTAATAAAATATTAAGAAAAAAATGCTACGAAATATTTTTTAGGAGAGAGTCAAAACAATTTCAGATATTTTGACTGAAAAATATTTATTTAAAATAAAAACATAAACTAAACGTACCAGAATGAATAAATCCTGTTAACAGTAACAAAAAATAATAATAATTGGAAAAAATACTTATGCTATGCTTCAAACACTTCAGGTGCAGTCTCAAAAATATACTTTTCGTAATCAGCAGTTATTGATATTTTTGGAACAGGTAGTTTTGTTTCTATGTCCGACAGTAGAATAGTGCAGACATCGTTGGGTTTTAAAATAAAATGGCACTTATTTGTGAGCCTTTTCAAGCCTGTTACTTCGGCTTCATCACCATTGATTAGTTGTATCACCAAACAAACATATTTGAACATTTTCTCTTTTCCAGGAAAATTTACTAATACAAAATCCCCAATTTGTAGGGTTTTTTTCATCAAACTCTTCCAAATCACTTTTGCTTAGCTCGTCAAATTCAACAATTCTGTTTTCGCTTGAATCACTGTACCAAGAACTATTATCATTTTCGGAACTGCTTTCAGCAATTTTTTTTTGTAAATCTTTTTAATTTTTTTTTCTGGTTTATATTTTTTTGTTGTATTTGAACTTAAAATTTTTTCAACATCGGCTCTTGTTATCACCTCTGCACCCAAGCACACGCGTTTTCTTTTCTTCGAATTAGAATTGTTTTCACGTTTGGTTGACCTCAATAACAACTCTTCGAATGAAACATCCAGAATCTTCTCAGTTTCTTGAAATGTTTGTATATCTGTCGAGCTGGAAGTTGACTGTGCTTCGACTGTGATTGGATTTTCATTATTTTTTGCTGATGTACTAGGCAAAGTTAAGTCAGGACCATCAAACCTAGCCACGTTACGGGTTTTTTGCCAACGTTGGAGAGCCACTGGGTCAAATAAATCTTGCTGAATAATATTCCTATTCAGCGGAACTATTCCTGCTTTAATGAAACCACTCACTAATATTTCGGGCCTGGTTTCCTGCCATATTTCTCCTATCATCTTGGAAAACATACTTTTTGTTACAGCGGCCCCCACATTTCTTCTCTGCCATTTAACAAGTTTAGCATCCTAACGGGTCTTCAGTGATTTAAATACACACAAATCTAAGGGCTGGAGTACATGAATGGTGTGAGGAGGGAGCTTAAGTATCGTAATATGGTTTTCAACAGCTATATTTATGACATCTGCTCCAAGATGACTCGCGTGTCCGTCGTAAATTACTAATACCGGTCGTTCTGAACCAATAAACTTTAAAAAACTGTTTTCAAAATAGTTTCTAAATACAGTTGTCTCCATCCACCCTTTAGGAGTGGCAGCGTAGGTAGTATCTAAAAACTCCGTGCCACGCGGAGCAGTCCACTGGTCCCAAACATGTTTACCTTTGAAGACAATAAGCGAAGGTGCTTTTTTGCCACTTGCGCTGCAGCACATAAGAACAGTTGTATTTTGTTTGCCAGGCCCACTAATAGTTCTTGTGGATGGAGCTCTTCTTTGTCCGACAATTTTTGTTTTTGACGGATCTGTGCAAAAACTGCTTTCATCTAAGTTCCAAATTTGCGACGGGCGTTCTTGTAAACCAAGTTCTTCTATAACGTTTTCAAGTAAATCAAAATAGTTGTAGATCAGGAATGGGTCAAGGTTTTTTTTTTCTAGCAAATTCAACACTCTGGAGTTTTTTAATAGAGAGGTTATGTCTACGC